CTGGACAGCCTTCTGCACTGTGTCCTGCATCTTCAGCAGCTGCTGCTTGTGAAAAGGACAGTGTTGAGGTTCATAGCGCTTCTCACCGTGGTTCACTCCATGCTGTGTTCTTGCTGTCCCTAAAGTCCCTGGGTCCTGTGATATTGACAAATTTAACATGACAGTGGGTCCCTGCCACCCTGAATTAGCCCCCATATTCCGTAAGAAATCTCAGAACACTGTTAGTCATACGTGCTGTCTGTCTGTCGCTCAACACTCTCACTGCCATTCATCAGTGTTTCTCTGTGTTCAGGTTGTTGGATCAAAGTGGAGAGTGAAGCGTCCCCCTTTGAGCAGAGCCTGTCTGCGGAAGGAGACCTTAGTGCATCCGTGCTCCCACAGCAAGTGCTGAGCTGTGCTGAGACACCCTTGCTAAGTGCAGACAACGCAATGATCATCCAGACTTCCTCTGGTCTTCTCACGCATCAGGTGACGTCCAGTGGCGGGGAGACACCCAGGACCACTGGGAGTGGAGAGGCCATTCACCCCGAGAAGAAGAATTGCAAATGCAGTTACTGTGGCAAAGTCTTTACTAGTATCTCTCACCTTAATCGGCACCGGATGATACACACTGGAGAGAAGCCTTTCCAGTGCAGCGAGTGCGGAAAGTCCTTCAGCCAGAAAGCCTTTCTCATCAAGCATTTCAGAATGCACACTGGAGAGAAGCCCTATAGGTGCAGCGAATGTGGCAAAGCCTTCAAGCATAATATCTCCCTGGTTTCTCACCAGCGAGTTCACACAGGAGAAACACCTTTTACGTGCAGTGAATGTGGGAAATCGTATATGACCAGGTCCAACCTTACACGTCATTATCAAGTTCATACCGGCGAAAAGCCGTACAACTGCAGCGAATGCGGGAAAGCCTTTAAGGAAAAATCCAGCCTTGTTTATCACGCCCGGGTGCATACTCGCGAAAAACCTTTTCAGTGCAGCGAATGTGGGAAATCCTTCAGCCAGAAAACCTTTCTCATTAAGCATTTCAGAATTCACACGGGGGAAAAGCCTTTCACCTGCGGTGAATGTGGGAAAGCTTTTAAGCATAACTGCTTCCTCGTTGCTCACCAGCGAGTGCACACAGGAGAAACACCTTTTACGTGCAGTGAATGTGGGAAATCCTACATGAACCGATCAAGTCTTTTGTATCATTATCGAGTTCATACTGGAGAAAAGCCTTAGAAATGCCGCGAATGTGTAATGTCATTTAAGAAAAAAAAAAAATCCAGGTTTGTTTATCATGTCCGAGTGAACACCAGGGGAAAAGGTCTTCTGAATGTCATGAATCTGGGAAGTGTTAAAAAAAAAAAAAGCTTCTTAGCTTAAGAAAGACCGGTAAGTTCACAACAGAGGCGACACTTTAAGAATAATGTGTGTGGGAGAGTCTTTACTGTGAGGTGCAGCCTCATCAACCATCAGATTTCACACGGCAGCAAAGCAGTGCCCAAGCACCGACTGTGGACCTGACTTTCTAGACTCCGGAAGATTCACACTGGATAGAATATATGTGTTGGGCGCAGTAAATGGGGAAATCATTTTCATCATCTACTGCCTGCACACAAGAGAATGTTCGCTGGACACAAGTCAAGAATGTTTCAAAGGTGAGAAATCCTCACCCTATTGAATAGGATTGGAGGAGACACCTCCATCCTATTGAATTGGAGAGGTCACAGAGCTGGGATGCATGGTGAACCCACTGACTCTGGTAAGGCTTTGAGCAGATGTCTGCTCTTATTAGTGATAGCCACACAACCCAGATAGGTCTGTGAATGCAGACAAAAGTCTCCAGCCATTGGCCAACCTTGTTCAGCCTTAGGAGTGAACGAGATCGGGATGAGAAGTCCTGAGAGTGTGAGGGAGCCATTAAATAAGAATATTGGGGTAAGATGAGGATTATTGCCATCTTCCTAGTCCCCAAAGTTAATACACTCCGTGGATCTTAGTAAAAGGCAGCCCTGTGTTTTGACATCACCAGTGTGGTATTGGAATTTTCATGGCACTGAATTTGAATGGGGGAATGTCAGAGTGGCCTCCCTTTAAATAAGACATGTTTTTATTTTTGTTCTTTTCTCACTGAATGCTTCAGTTCCTGGAATAAATGATGTTTGCTGTATAGTCTTCTTTTTTTAAAGTTTTAAAGTTTTATTTATCTATTATGTATACAGTGTTCTGTGTGCATGTATGCCTGCAGGCCAGAAGAGGGCACCAGATCGATCTCATTAGGTGATGGTTGTGAGCCACCATTTGGTTGCTGGGAATTGAACTCAGGATCTCTGGAAGAACAATCAGTGTTTTTAACCTCTGAGCCATCTCTCCAGCCCCTGTGTTTCAGATTTCTTGTTGGAGTATATCAGATACCAGTTCCTCACATCCTAACACTTTGTAAGTCATGAAGTGTTCAGTTTAACATTTTTAGATTTATTTTTTTCTATTATGCATACACTGTTCTGCCTGCATGTGTGGCTGCATGCCAGAAGAGGGCATCAGATCTCAGGACCTCTGGAAGAGCAACCAGTGGTTTTCACCTCTGAGCCATCTCTCCAGCCTCATTTTAGCAATTTTTATTCCTATGTATACCTGGGCTTGGTGGCACAATCCTAGCACTCAGGAGGCAGAGACAACCGGATCCCTGTGAGTTTGAGTCCAGCCTGGTCTATATGGTAAGATGGAGGATAGCCAGGGCTACAAAGAGAAACCCTGTCTCAACATGAAAAGAACAAAACAACAACACCAGCAAAGCTATGTAGTAGCATAAAATTGTGATTTTAATTTTGGCTCATCACCATATATTGTAAAGATTTATTTATATTTGTGGGCTTGTGTTATGTGCATCACACATATGTCTGATCCCTTTGGTGGGCAGAGTGGGCATCAGAGTCACTGGACCTGGAGTTGTGGATGCTGGGAATGGATCCAAGTTTCTCTGAGAGAACAGTAAGAGCTGTTAGCAAATGAGCCATTTTTTTTTTTCTGGCTTTCCACCCATGTTTTCTTTGTTTGATTAGATATAGTCTTACAGTGTAGGCTTCGCTAGCCTGGAGCTATCTCTGTAGACCAGGCTACCCTAGAACTCTTGGAGATCTACCGTCTTCTGTGTTCTGAGTAAATGCCTGGTGCCTGTGAAGACTCAAAAATGGTATTGGATTGCCTGGAACTGGTTATAGATGGTTATGAACCAGTGTGTATCCTGGAAATGGAACCCAGGTCCTCCACAACAGCAGCGTGAGGTCGTAAGTACTGAGCCCTCTCTCCAGCCCAGGTTTAAGTTCTGAAGAAGTTCCGGACTCAGATCTAAGTGACTGCGTGCTTCAGATTTCCCCCCGTAGTGTTTCAGAGTCCAGTTTGTCACATCCTCCCTGACACTTTGTGAGTTGTGAGGTGTCCGCATGGATCATTTTAGTAGTTATGTGGTGGTATATAACTGTAGTTTTAATTTTGTGTTATCCTCTTATATTATTATAAAAGTGTATTTAATTTTGTGGGTTTATGTTAGAGCTCCCATGTATGTGTGTGCACCACATATATGTCTGGTCCCCTTGCAGGTCAGAGTGACCACTTCTCTAAAGAGGTGAGAATACTCTAACCATGAAGGTATAGCCATAGTCATTCCTAATATTAAGAGTATAATTATGCCTATGTGCAGAGACATGTGACATAAGATCTTCTAGTGTTCTGCCCATGCATGCTTTCCCAGACTGAAGGGCAGGACCTCCTGCAGAGGCCTGTGGTGTGATGTGGCACTGTGGTGGCCTTCTGCCTGGACTGTACTGGGCTTCCCCACGGTTGAGTGCTTTTCAGGGACAGCAAGTGGATCCTGTGAGAGCAAATAAAAATGAGACGTGTGTGGGGGAAAGTGTAGCAGCAAGCAGGCCGCATGATGAATGAAAGGAACAGGGAAATAAAGAAAGAAAGGAGGAAGAGAAATAGAATGGAAATGAAGCATAGACAAAGTGCATTAGTACATCACTGACCTTTTCATCAGACAATAAGGACCTCCTATTATAGAACATGTATCACAGAAATCAGGAGTAGCTGAAGCTTCCTATGACAACCAGAGAGACTTTGATCAGAAAAGGAATTTATTTGATTTCATCACCAAAGTACATGTGCAGAATATTACACTTGAATATTTCAATTATGTGGCCCAAAACCTGTGTAAGAGAGATGGCATGTGTATCAGTCAGTTATAAAGCGGCATGTTCATAGACAGACCCACAGACATCCAGGTACGAACAGTTGTAAGACTCCTGATGGGTGCTGAGACCTCAGCTTGTTCTCTGTAAGAGCAGAATGTGCTCTTGTTGCTGCGCCATCTTTCCAGCCCTGACACTCTTTGTTTTGAATAGGCTAACATAATGGCGAGGTCAGCAGGAGAGTAGCTAAGGCTATGTCTCAGTTGGTAGAGGGTTTGTGTAGTATGCACACGAGCTGGGGTTTGATTGATGGAAGCGTATAGTCCAGAGGTGGATTATAATCCATGTGTTCAGGAGGTGAAGGCAGGTGCATCAGAATTTCAAAATGATCCTGAGTTACAAAGTGGGAGGTCAGCTTTCTCCACAGAAACCTGTCTTGAAAAAATTGTGCGGTTGTGCAAGCATTTAATCCCAGCACTTAGGAGAGAGAGGCAAGTAGATCTCCATGAGTTATACACTAATCTGGCCTACATAGTGAAAACAGAAAGAAGACGTGGAATAAAATCTAAGGGAGGGTGGAGTTCAGTAGTTCAGAGGACGTAATGTTCTTGCAGAGGACCCAGGTTTGGCTTCCAGCACCCATCACACTGTGGCTAACCACCATCCAACTCCAACTGTCATGCACATGAGGCGCGCGCGCACGCACACACACACACACACACACACACACACACAGGCAAAACATTCATGCACATAAAATAAGTCAACCCCAACAAATTAACGAAAGATAAATCTAAAGGAATAGAAAAGTCATTCCGTGAAATGGTAGAATATAATTTCGCAAATCTAAGGAAAGAAATGGACATTCAAGTATAGAAGGTATTAAGAACCTTAAGTGCCAAGAGAAGAATTGTAGTGATATTTTGTTTGTGATCTAACAAAGTTTGCGTGGAGATCAGAGTACAGAGTTAAGCCACTAGTTAGCCATAGAGGCTAGGCAGTGGTGGCACACACCTATAACCCCAGCACTCAGGAGACAGAGGCAGATTGATCTCTGAGAATTCAAGGTTACCCTGGGCAACAGGAGATCAAATCCGTCTAAAAGAGAAACAGAGCTCACACAAAGGTGATCCCAGCACTTGGGATGATGTGCCTTTAAACTCAGCACTAGGTAGGTGGAGACAGGGGTGATATGGCTGGGCAGAGAGAGGAATACAAGGCAGGGGGAGGCATGAGCTCAGATGCAGTCAGAATTCCATCTGAGATGCAGTCTGAGGATACGTGGAGCGAGGATTGCCCCCTCAGTCTGAGGATTCGGTAGAGGTGGAAGGTCTCTCTAGTGACTGACTGATCTGCTTCTCTGATATCTCAGTTTTCACTTCCTAATATCTGACTCAGGGTTTTTGTAATTAAGAACAATTAGAATTCATGCTACAAAGAATCTCTGTGACACATCATTCTCTAAATGTAAAAATTAGAAAGTGAAAATCAGTGTTAAAAGCCATTGGTGGAGAGCACCAGTTCACCGAAAAAGGGAGCCACCCAAAACTTGATTACAGCTCCCAGGAAAGCCGTAAAAATTCAGGAAAGCATGAAGTGATTTATTTCTGGCATCGAATGAACATCTCTGCTAACCAAGACCACAAGATGAACAGTTTCACCTTTTTAGAACTTCACAAGGAAAGAAAGACATTTCATCATTGACACAAACTTAGGCAATGCATCAGTCCAGCAGGTAGAGGATACTTAACGAACCCTACACACACTTAATGTTCATTTATCAAGTTTGTGTGTGTGGCACGTGCAAGCCATAGTGTGCACGGGGGTGTCGGAGAACGCTTGGCTGTCAGCTCTTTCCTTCCACCTTTTGGATCTTGGAGATTAAACTCAGCTTGGCAGGCTTGACAACAAGTACCTTTCCCTTCTGAGATATTCCAACCACCCATGGCATTTAATATTTTAAGACCTCATCTAATGTAGTTCAAAACATATAATCCTTCTTCCTTCCAATCCAAAATTCTACTACAGCCATTCATCAATATGCTCTGTTTGAGGAAAGATATTTAAAAAATAGTTTCTGAGATAGAGTTTCTCTGTGTAACAGCCCTGGCTGTCCTAGGATATGCTCTGTAGACCAGGCTGGCCTCAGACTCAGAGATCTACCTGCCTCTATCCTGAGTGTTAGGATTAAAGGCGTGTGCCACCACCAGACAAGAAAGACATTTTTTTTTATCATGAATGTACAAGAAAGACATGAAGACATAAATAAAGGAGAATCGGGAGTGAATCAACCATGTCCAACTCAGAAATCCAGCAAATTCCAAAAGGAAACAGAGGAGAACAAAATGAAAAAAAAATCCAAACTAAAAAACAACCAGCAAAATTACCAGAATCAGCAAATAGCCCCCTGAAATAATCCATCTACTAATAGTCTATGCTCCCTAGTCATAAGACGAAGAGCAATTGTGTGGGTTCACAGCAGGGTCTGACTGATTTTGTCTACAATAAATAAATCACTGGTAAAGAAACTGAAAATAAAAGATGTAAGATAATATACAAAGCACACGGAAGAAAAAAATTAATCACAGGCAGTTCAATTTACATCTGGTGAGTTACCTTATCTAAGATCGGATTCGATAAAATGTGCTACAACATTAATGCAAGAAACAATTTGTTAAGAACTTGGAGTAATAAATATGTATGCACCGATTCAGACATATGATTTTTCTAAAACATTGCTAGACATGAACAAATAAATAATACAGAGACATTTATAGTGGGTGACTTCAATACCTCATTGTCATAAAAACATCTGTCACCTGGATTTAAAAAAATTCAAAACCAAAAGTGAAGAGTTAAATTGCAAGAGCTCTCCAGACTATTAAATGTGCTGGAGAGCGGGCTACGTGGTTAAGAGTCTTCCAGAAGCCCTGCTTCATTTCCCAACACCGACATGGCAGCAAATAACTGTCAAATTTTA